TTTTTGCTAAATCAGGGCTGTCTTAATGCATGGGCCTGATGGGCACTTGCCCATGATAGGCCCCACAAGCATAAGGGCCGCATGCTAATGTATGTTAACCCTTCAGTGCATCTTGTATCATATAAATACAGCAACTATATGGCTCAGTTGTCTTGGGGGCCCCAGTATACTGCTTTGCCCAGGGCCCATAATGTTGTTAGATGGCCCTGTGCTAAGTGAAACATTTGTTAAATTAATTTTGCCCCTTTTAGAACTGCTTGCCACAGTTGTTAAGTGAATCACTGTAGTTAAGTTAGAAACATAATAGTCAAGTGAATCTGGCTTCTCCATTGACTTTGCTTGTAAGAAGGTTACAAAACGTGATCACATGACCCCAGGACACTGCAACTGTCATAAATATGAGTCAGTTGCCAAAAGCGTCTGAATTTTGATCATGTGACCATGGGGATGCTGCAACGGTTGTAAGTGGTGAAAAACAGTCAAAAATCACTTTTTAGTGCCTTTGTAACTGAATGGTCACTAAATGAACTGTTGTAAATCGAGGACTACCTGTATAATCTACTCTGTCTAATCATCAAATCCATAAAGTTCATTTTTTTCTGTTTTCCACAAAATGTCCATTAGACATTTCCAGACAACAATAAACATAGATATTGTCTTTTCTCTCATCAGAAAAATCAAAGTTCCAATACTATTTTTCAGCTGTTTATCCATCAGTCCCAAAAGAAAGATCACTGGTCCTAATTTTATACTAATCTTTAAAATCTTATACATCACGGGTGTCATGTTGCTGTTACGTGACGTTTCGTGATGTTTTTTTCCCTTTGTGGAGATGGGGTGGATGTGGTGTACACTTGACACATCTGGCTCACGGGCCACCAGTTTGACTCCCCTGCTGTACATCAATAAATGTATGTATTTGTCCAAAATTTTCTAGCTTTTTCACATGTCCACCAAGCATGATAAAATGCCCCTTCTTTGTTCACATTTACAGCAGGAACTGGAAGTGCATGTATACATTCTAGACAATTTCTCTAGAACACATCCAAGGCTTCGATAGCCAGGTTTGCCTTGGGAACTGGGCACATCCAAATAAGAGATCATGATACATTAAATGCCAACAAGCATTAGGGCACTACATACCTGTCAATCTTCTGAAAGACACACACATCAGGGAATATAGGTAGTCCTTGACATACAACTACAATTGATCCCAAAATTTCCATTGCTAAGCAAGACAGTTCTTAAGTGAGTTTTGCCCCATTTTAAGACCTTTTGTGTTAACAGTTAAGTTAGTAACATGGTTGTTAATAAATCTGGCTACCATTGACTTTGCTTGTCAAAAGGTTGCAAAAGGTGATCGATCATATGACCCCAAGATACTACAAACTTTATAAATACATGCCAGTTGCCAAGCATCCAAATTTTGATCACATGAACATGATGGGGATGCTGCAACAGTTTTAAGTATGAAAAACAGTCATAAGTAATTTTTTTCAATGCTATTGTGATTTTGAATAGTCACTAAATGAATGGTTCTAAGTCAAGGACTACCTGTAGTTGAATCTTCCCCCACTGGAGAGCTGATGAATGGGTGAGAATACAACTCCCAGAATTCCAGGTCAGAGAACACTAGAATTCTGGGAGCTGTAGTCTTGTCAAACTGCAGGGCACTATAGTGAAGAAGCCTGAGTTAATGAAAGGACAATTCTATGTGGTTTCTTAATCAAAATAAAGTAAGCATTGTTTCATAGTTTTTTTGTTAGGTGCTTGGCTATGCATTGTTCCCTCGTGCCTTTTTAGAGTAAATACAGTCTAGTACCAATTCAATAAGTAGATGACAAAATGAATTTCTAATTATGATCTTCCCAAAATTTCACATTTCATTCAAAGCCATCTCCAGTAATTCTGTTCTGGATTAATTTTTCTAGTACCTGAAATGTAGACTCTACAAGCATAGGTGAATACTCTTGGATAGCAAAGAGAATCCCCTTTCTCAGATCCTAATACAATTTAAATGTACATCAACATGCTTTTGCCTTTGATAGGTAAGTTTGATGAATTCTGGGTTACTTGCTCACATATCCTTTATAAGATAAAATAAATAAAAAATGAGCAAGTATGAACCTATTCTAATTGCTTCATCAAGATGTATATATCAATAAACTGTCCTATTCAAGGGGAGGGGAGGGCTGCCAGTGTACAGCATTCCCATTGTACAGTTGTTATTTCCCACACTCCAATTAAGGACTAACTGAAGGACACAAACCTGCTCCCTTCTTGCATTCAGCCAACATGCTTAAGAAGGTGAGATTAGGGCTGTGTTAAATGGAAGCAGAATTTCCACAGTCCAGCATTCCATACTAGCTGAGACTTGGTTTTCCCTCAGCTAGAATGCTGGCTTCTATTATGAGGTAACCTTTCCTCTCCAGGATTTGACTGGTAGGCGCAAAATATCTAATTCCCAGCTTTTCCAATTATAACTGTACCTTGGATTACAAATGTGCCAAGTTCCAAGTTAGGGGATGACCTAAAAGTACCTTTTTTATTCATCCATCTATTCAATTAGTATCCTTCCAGAAGCTCAAGGCAACATATGTAGTACCCATTACTCCAGTTATTATACTCGCTGTTCTACGAGGTAGATTAAATTAAGAGATAGTATCTACCCCAATTTCATCCTGTGAGTTTCCATGACTACAGGTAGAGATGAATCTGGATTTCCTAGTACTGCACCATGATGACTATACTTCATCATGTCCCTATTTCTGGGAAAAGATTAATAAATCTAATTTCCATTACATTTTAAATCCAGTTGAGCACCAGTTTATGGTAATGAACTGTTGTTATCTAACTCTACATACTTTGTAAGTACAGGCAAATTGTTTTTCTGAGGTTACATTTAATATTCTGCTGTTCTCAGTACAAATGCCAAAACTGATTCTGTGCTACTGAATGAACAATTGCGTATTCATGGTCAGATTATCTTCTGCTTTTTTTTTTTATTTGTAAGTGATTTTGTTGTGTGAATCTGTTGCTTTAGATGTATTCATCCCTAGAATTAGGAGTTCCAATTTGATTTATATTAAAGTCACTCATATCTGTAGATTTAGCCTAAAGGTTAAGAGCATTTATGAGAATTTATTCTTTTTATGTGTTATTATGATAGATTTAGTGGGGAGGAAAGTGTCCTTTATTTGGTTCATTTAAATTAATCTTTATTCCTTCTCAGAGTACTTCCTGAGGCCATTTAATTCATCTGATTGACCAATGTAATTTATTTCTTTAAAACCATTATTAAATAGCTTTTATAATATATTGCAAGTGCAAATTGCCAATAAAATCTGGCTTAGCATACAGGTTGAACATTTTAATAACATGCAAATTGCTCAGCATAACATATTACCAATCATATCTTTGCTTCTCTCATGTAGTAGTTTTATCCATTAATAATATCCTATACTTAAAGTACAAACATGTCAGACCGTAAAGCTGCAGTTTTATTTAAAATGCACTTTAGTTTGGATCTTGGAGAAATTATGATGAAAATAGTAAAATCAACTTCTGCATTTGGGCAATTTACAAGCTGGAAATAAGCCATGTTCCTTATGGCTCTCATTTAAAACTCAGCTAATTGAAAATTATGGCAAGCATTGATTCTAGTTTTTCACCATTGCAGAAAGCATTAAAATTGGAATAGATATTGAAAATCTCTCCCTCCCTTCCTCCGTGTGTGTGTGTGTGTGTGTGTGTGTGTGTGTGTGTGTTAGAAGATGAGCCATCTAAGGCAGGGCTGTCAAACTCCTGGCCCACGGGCCAGCTGCATCACACACTGGCCACACCCACGCCTGGTTTAGCGAAGGGGGGAAAAGTCTTGATACATCACATGACTGCCATGATGCCGCAAGTTTGACACCCCTGATCTAAGGGAAGCTAGATTATACAGAGAATGCATATTCACTGGATATTCATTTATTCTAATAGGTATGCTTCTATTATTTACTGGGTTTAGCAAGGCATATATTCAGCTCTGCCCTTTGAGATATCATTATATTCCTTTCCTTTTTATGGTCTCATGCCTGAATCATATAGTCAACTATATTCCAATTTAAGCATGTAATTATATGGTCCAGCCTAATCTACTTAATTTGTTCATTCCTAAAACATTCAATTTAATGTACTTTTCCTATTTTCCTAATGCACTTTGACAAGTTGAAGTTTTCCTTAGTTCATACTTCTTACATTCCATGTTCTGATTGCACATCTTTTTAAAATTCTTTTTAAAGTGCAATAATTAAAAAGTTTCCAGTATTAGAACTGTGATTATTCCATATATTTTGTAGAGAATTGTGGATTAGTAGTTTTTGAGGAGGGCTACTTCCTTGTGGTCCCAAACATGAAATTGATCTTTCTTTTTTCCTGCAGTAAAATTGGCTGATATTTTTACTGAATTATCTACCAGGCCTATGTAAGATGACTTCAATTCACCTCAAACAAGAGATATGCACCATGGATCTCATCTGATTCATTTTGTGGAAGCAAATAGGAAATGTGATTGGCCTCTACGAAGCAAATTATTCCCAGCAGAACAAAATCCAGAGATGTTATTCAAAGCACTTCTGGATTTTGTTCTGCTGAGAAGGCAATAAAGAATCTGTATACTTTGATGGAATTATTAAGGAATCTCTTAATAGTTAATAATGTACTATTCCTGCAACAGCACTGTACTATAGCTTTCACAGTTTGGGGGAAGGAAGGACAAAGACACTGCACATTTATAAAACGTTTCATCAAAGCAAATTGCATTGTCTTTTTCTTTCGAGAATCACATTCAGCATGAAAATTCAGATGCATAATGATAGACAAGCTGCAAAGAGTTTCCTTACAAGTCATGGCTTTTCAGCCTGATTTTTAGAACTTTTCTTTTTTATGTTTTGTTTTCAGGTTCTAGTAGCTATGATTTGTCCAGCTTACAGAGCCTAATTTACCCTTTTTTATAGATGTTAATGAGAAATCAGAAGGTAAATGAAGATTCAACACTTCACATGTCTGCTGACATCCATAATTTAATTCCTTGTGGTGATGTGGTATGTAATTAAATATTTATTCTTTGTTATGCATTGCATTTTATTGCTAATCAGATGCTTTAAGATTGCAAATATCTGTTGTATGAACCTATTCTTATCTTAAAATTTTAAAACTTATTTTGTGCTAGAATTGATTACAAACATGGGTGGCCTGTGCATCGGATCTCAGCAACTAGCAGCACTCAGCTAATGTTATTTGGGTTCCAAAAAGCCAGTTTGGTTAAAGCACCAGGCTAGAAGCCAGGAGACTATGAGTTCTATAAAAAATTCTGCACAGTCAGGTTTCCTAAATATGGGAATATCACAGTTGGACGCCAGAGTGTGAAGTCTAAAACAGATCCCTGAAGGTGGCAGTGGCCAACCACTTCTGCAAAGTTGCCAAGGAAACTACATGATATGTTCAGAATCCCCAGGTATTAAGCCAACCCAAACAAAGTTGTATTGTTCCATATACTAGCTTAGCATATTTGCCTATGCTGTAGATATTACTGTATGTACTGCAGTCTTAGTATTCCATTATGATCTGTGCTTTCCGGTACAGCAAGTCTGGAAATAAGGAGGGGTTTCTGGCTATAAGAACTATTAAGGAATAAATAGCTAAAGCTGCAAGGTTTTCGAGAAAACATTGGGATGTTGGGATGTTATGAGATGTTATGAGGATTCTTGCCCCACAGAGGGTTAGACAAGGAGATGTCCAACCCTATGATTCTAAGTCAAAATATTCTAATCTATGCTAAATAGGTTCAAAACCTATGCTGATATTTTATTAGTACAGTACTAACTACAGTAGCAATTTCCTAACTCAAAGTGTTGACCGCTAAATACACTTTTCAGATTTGTATGTGATTTTATAATGAAATGAATATATTTCCTATTTCAACAGGCAGGCTTGCTGGCAATTAATGTGAAACAGTGCAAAGATTTTACCTCCAAATGTATCTTTTTACCCCTGGTGGTTGTATAGTAGTTGATTAACAAACTACACTTTCTTAGAATAGAATAAGATATGATGTAAGAAGTTCATGAATTTGATATCAATGTTGCTGTAGTTCTAGACAAATATGGTGCAATAGAAGCAGCAGGATACTTGAAAGGCAGTCAAGATTAGACTATAAGTTATACATATCATTGTTGACAAGCTCACAGCATTGTGGTGAATGTAGAGTATCCATGAGGCATTTTTAAAAGCAGCTTTGATAAACACACATGCACATACTGTATTTTCCTGCACAATTCAAACTTTTTCCTGTCTTCTTAAGATACTACATAGCCTTATTATTTAATGTACAATTTAATGACAAATTTTATATAAAATATATTTTATACTTTACACAGTTTCCATCTTCCCTTGAAACATGACAAAATTCACAATGGATTAAGAATCAGTGTTTCCAATAGATAATTGATAGTCTGAAACTAAATTAAGTAAATAGGGGGAAATCTTTTACTCAGACTTCCTCAAATCCCAAAATAAGTTATGCAGACCTAATCCACATATCAAAAGATAAGGTCTAAAAACAGGAATAGAGTTAATTAAATTAGGACTCTCAGGGAATTGCATTTTCACAAGAATAAGCATCATAGATAACACATACCTACACACCATGCACCATAAGGGTCACCCTAGAATCAGCACATAGATACTTCCACACCCAGGACAAGCTTCCCTGTTTAACTATGTCGCTATACCCCATTTCTCTGCAGCTGCCCCAAAGGCAATTTTTTTGCTTTTTAGGAATAAATATTTATTTTTTCTTCACAACTATCTGGATCTGTTTTATTTATTCTTGAGCAACTCCGGCTTGAGTTGGAACCCCTAATTATTCTTCTGACAGTATTTAAAAATATCAGTATTTTCAGACATCAGTAATTTAATTGCTGAAAATACATTAATAAGTAACCATGGTTTAGTTTTGATGTTTGTTGCTCATTAATCACAATGGTGGCTGATTCTGATTATGGTTTCTGTGGTTTCCTGGATTATTTAGCATGTTGTCAAAACTTCTTGTTAATCCAAAATGTGCAATGCAACAAAACGAGGAATTTACTTCATTCAGCTTTCTTATGTGAGAATACTGACAATAGTTTAAGGCAGCAGACAATCAATGCAGACAACCATTAGATGGCAGCAAAGTACTAAAGTTTCCTATTTCTCTTTTCTGCCAAGATAGATTTTATCTGGATTTTTACAACCCAGATACATGACAGTCCTAGGTTTCCCACTTGTTCAGTAAATCATGGCTTAGTATGATCAGTGAATACAGCTATTGTTTCAACCAAATTTGGGATTACTCCTTACATGCTGCGCCACATAACACTACAAATCTCTTTATTTGTTTTCTTTTTAGACTGTATTTTACATTCCTGTAATCTAATTATGTTTTATAGCATGCTCTGAAATCTTCGAAGACTCTTATTCAGTCAACTTCCTTTATTGTAATTTTCTGACCAGAAAGATCTAGGCTTCCTTAACATAGAACTCTCACAGTCAATGTTAAACGTGACACCTACTTATTGATTCGTATTAGTATTGATAAAATCATGAAATGCACAAATCCCCAATTGTACAGAGCACACTTCAGGACCAGAAAGATGAATACAATCTATTTCGGAGATGTAAGATATTTTTCTGTAAAGGTATGTTTGTTTGTTCTTTTCTTTTATATTTGTATGTTTATTCTTTTCTTATACAATTATCTTTTATGGCCATAAAATACTTTATATGAAAATCTTCTACATTTACTTTGATAGCAATCTGGTGATGTGCATTTTTTTCATAGCAGATGTAATCGTTTGAATTAACCCATTAAGTATTATTTGAACAGATATTTTTCAATTGCTCCACTACAAATTTATGTTCCTGTAAGTGAAGTTATTGTTCCTGTTTTCTTTCTTTTTAATGCTAACAGGAACAGTCACCCTCATGCCCTGCATATGGACTTTACTAATTGCAATAATAATAATAATAATAATAATAATAATAATAATAATAATAATAATAATAATAATA